AAGGTTTTATTCATGTGTGCTTATCATTGAAGACAAACGAAGGAGGCCTAGACTGCGGTGGTTAGAGTCTCAGAAGGGGATAAAAACCATTAGAGCTAAGAAGCAAAACAAAACAATAATATCAATGTGAGAGAACTAGAAGGATTTTGGGGAAGTTTACGTCCACCAGGGCTTTGCTCACTAAAGGAAAATGTTATATTTCTACCTCCTCCACCCTTCACAAAGAAAATAATGAAACATACCCATGAAGAAGTCGTAAATTTAGCTCCTTAAAGAACAATCAAGATAATTATTTAAGCTATATCACGCATCTGAGGTTACCGGGTTCGGTGTGAACACCTGCAAGAGCAAATATTTTGTTAAAGTTTCATTAAAATCCCAACTGACAAATCCCCCTGAGACGACATCACCTGCTCCCCCGCTTCCCCCGCTACCACCGCCAAACCCCAAAAGCGGTAACCCTCTAATAAGATGGTGTTGACTTGGCACACTCAGGGCACATCATATCATATTGGTATGCACTGGACACCGGCATCTCAGAATCAGAACAGGAGGTTTTGTTTGCACATCGATATGAGCTGTGCTAGATTTAATCAGGAGGATAAACAATAAAAAAAACTGTACAATATTGCATATATTACTACTGCATCTTAAGACCTCACCTCAGAATTTAATTATTCAGATTAGCCTTTAATTTAATGCCAACACGACCGCTACTTTCTACAGTGTGGTTTTAAAAACTTTGAGATCTTTTCTTTTCTTTCCTGATCCGACATCTTATCTGTGCCAGGTGGTAGAGAACTTTGTCTTGTTCTCTGTGCAGCCTGAAAAAGGTTAATAAATGCTCCTTCCACGTGCACATTCTTTATATTATTCAAACGCACAAGTACTCATTATTTTTCCACATCACCTTCAATTACAAACCCGAGTTGCTTTTACTTTAAAACCATCAACAATAATGTCGTTAAGAGAGCTGAAGCAGTGTCAGCCTTGCCCCTCTCTGCTCCGTAATTCAATGATGCGATGTGAAGGTGATGTGAAGTAAACAGCTCGTCTATGTTTGGAAATCATTTGGAGAGTTGAGTAATCTGATGGATAGCAAGAGAGCACTTCACGAGAAATCCAGCATCTTCCTCTGCATAAAAGGAAAATAATGATTTCATGATTTAATAGAAAAAGAAAACTGCAAGTAATTAAAATTATGTTTCATTTTGGGGAAACATCTTAAAAAGTCTGTATTTATTGTTGAATCATAGTTAAGCTCTTAAATGGAAGAGAACAGAGAACACCAGGAGCAGCTCTGGCAACAGAATATAAATATTTGCAACTGCTATGATAGATATAATGAGTTGTTGTGAAGTGATGTTAGGTGTTGCACTACACACACAGCCTGGTTTATGCAGGTTCAACATAAGGTGTCACAGATACTGCACCTTACCACTTAAATGCTTTTTTCTTGTGTAGGTCTGCCTCTGTCATTGTGTTGATGTGGAGAGAAGCACTTCACACACTCAATTATTCCCTGAGAGAATTTTCTAATTAATGCTTCTATTATTACCAGCATGAAAACAGATGATTTTATACTCACAATTTCCTTGATACAAATCCATCCTTGCACGTTACATTGATTCAAACTATTTGATATCCAGTTTATAACAGCTTCACATTTGCTGTTTTAATACGAACTTTTCACGCTTCCTCACAATGTTTGTTCCCAACAGCAGGTTGTTAAAATATCAACGGAGAGTTTAGAATTAATTAAGAAAATAGTATTAATTTCTAGTCATTATAGCAGAGAAGATAAGAATGAAACTTCATTAAAAAATCAACAGAATAAGGGGGTTTGAGCGAGAGTACAAACAATTCATGAAGCAAAATATAAAATAAAAAATTTAACAAACATAAAGAAATGGAGGTAAGCATGGTATAAATTGTGGAATTAATGGATTTTTAAAAAAGAAAAACTTAATATATCTATTTAAATTGTGCAAAATTAATTGTTGGGCATGCTCGTTCCCTGTGCGGCCGGCCAAAGCTCCGATTTAAAGCGGTCTGGACAATCACTGAGGCCAGAGCGGAGTTTAGAGACCCGATAATGAACCACAGGAAAACATTTCGAACACACATGAATTATTGATTTTGATTCAACCCCAGTGACCAGACTAAGTGACTAATTGGCTTATTTAACCAGTGGCTGCTTTAAAGGATGTACAGTTGCTTTCTTTTTCCTCTCAAGGGAGAATAATGATCCTCTCATTCGACTTTATTCTATACAAGTTATGACTGATGCAGGTCTCCTTGTTAGTAACTGTTCAAAAGCACTGACGTACACAGCTGACTATTAGCATTTGGTGAGGGGAACATTATTTTTGTTGCTTCTGCTCTGGGAACTAACACATTGGATTTGAGGTGAAACAATGTCTTATAGGCTGGTTATAAACTATTTTGGGTGATCAAAGTTATTGTAACTCAACAAATGAAGGTTGACTGTTCAGTATCCTCCCTTGTGCTACATTTTGAGGCTTTCTTAGATATTTAGTGTGTGATACACATGCTAAGTTGGACTGAGATCAAGAAACTGACTGAAAATGCCACAGTTCAAACATAAAACCTCCCCTCCTCTGTATGTTAGGATTATTGTCACCTGCATTACCTGCATTGAAGAGGTTGTTTTCATCTGTTTGATTATCTCTTAGTGAGCAGCATAACATTCGAGATTTCGAAACTGGACAGGGGCATTTTTCAACAATTTCGATTTTTCAGTGAATTATATGTGAATCTTGATGAAAATAATCTGACGTATTTAGGTATCGACAAGTGTGCAGTTTCATGCAAAATCTGGATCTAGTGGATTTAAATGTGGTTTCACGGGTTGTAGTCTATTTTTGGCTGCTGTACGGTAACATATAGGACTAGAAACCTTTAACTTCCACTAATGGGTAGCGTAATGTGGATTTAGCTATGAAGCCTGTTTTAATGCACTGTTGGGCCTCAGGGGAAGTATGTACTTTACAAATGCAATTGTCTTAAATCTGGGGAACTAGAAACACTGCTCACCATGCATGAACGTAAAAACCTTTAAACTCATAGATTTTGTGTTGGGAAGCTCAAATTTATACATGGAAAAAAAAACTTTGTCCCGTGCAGTATTAATCAGTGAAATACTTTTTTTTTTTTAAATGTAAAGTACTGGAATTCAGAGCCAAAAACAATAGAAAACACTGTATGTCATTGTTCTAATCCTTAGAGACTGCACTGTGCACAATAAGACAAGCTCACACATACGCCTCTGTGCACAACACATACTGTATGCAGGCATCATGCAGTGCATGACTTTCACTGTACGTCTCTTTACTTTTTAAGTTTCATTCAGCAAAAACACAAGGTACAAAGAGTTGTGCATTTCTGAAAACTTACAACTTCATTTAATCTACCACTGAGTTCATCTCCTTCACGCGACGACACACATGCATGAAAAGCACATCTATTGTTTTCAGTGCCCATTTGGCACAAAAGCTCTACTTTCCTCCCCAGAGAGCAAGCGGGAGGTTTGTGGTGGAGGTCTTAATTAGCCAGGACAGGTTATTTAGAAACTGCTCACACACACACACACACACACACACACACAGTCAGGATAAAGTAAACATAAAAATAAAAAATCCTTCTTTTCTTTTTTTATCTTTTAATCATACAAATTCAAATCAGAGATTCTTGTCATGCTTTTCTATGCGTCACCGAATATCTCTGCTCATATTCATCAGTCGTCCTTGATGTTTTTTCTTATATTGTATTTCTCAGTAATTTCCTCCAGATTCAGATGCCCCCAGAGTCAGCACTGTTGTTAAGTTTCTCAAACTTTCTCTTTCTGCAGACCTTTTGTTCCGAGGCTCAATGTTAGGTCTTCTATGAAAGACCGCTGGCTAGATTGAAACCATAAATCTGCTTGACAGAACGGCCTGAGGTTTGACTGACCCTCCAGTTGCTCCTGTAGGTTTAATATCAATATGAAGAACTACTTGTGCCATTGGTGTGTCCAGTGAAAAACTTTGGGGTTTGGTATTTCAAGAAAAGATGTTTTTCTATTTGGTTATTCCCAAATTGACATGTTCCCTTTCTGAGCAACAAATTTCCCTTTGGGCTGCAGCAGCAAGTGATTTTGCAGTCTAGCAACAGTTTTAGGATTTCTTTGGTTCCCTTTTTATGACTTCTACCAAGCTTTCTTTTATCTAAAGAATAGCTATTTTGGTCTCAAATGTTTGTTTGCTGAATAATTACGATGATATCTTGATATATTTTCAATAGATATTGAGAATTTCTTTTTAGCATTTGTGGATTAAAGATCTGATTTCAGGAAATTTTAAAATTTTAGGCCACTTTTGAATATGTCGGAATAGACAGAATAAATCAGTCAATATATAAGAACTGTGGCATTATTCAGGAGCATTTCAAAGGACATTTGGGGGGGGGGGGGAGGCTTTATTAAACATTAACCAAAAGGTAATGGTTAGAAGTCTCCTGTGCATCGCTGCAAAATTGTCATTGCTGTGGATCAGCTGTTTTCATTGGGCCCCCTCTTGGCTCCAGGGCCCAGGTAATCGCCTGCTTTTCCCAAGCTGTAGCAGCTCCCCTGCTAATATCGCCTGATTGTATATATTTTATGCAGATCTTGTTCTTGTATCATAAAAAATATATATATATTATTTATGTCAGGTGGGATTTGCTCCAGCCCCCTGCAACCCTTTAAGGAAAGGCGGTATAGATAATGGATGGATGAATATATTATTTTCTAGCATTAAAATAACAAATGCAGAGGACTGTGCAGCCTTGGAGGTTTGTTAGAGCTTCAGATTTTCGGTGAAAACAGTATTTGACAGTATGTGAGAGAATGACAGAGTATTAAGTGCTTTTCCTAAATGAACTAAGTAAATGTCCTGAAATGTTCTATAGCTAACGAGACGACCCGTTCTCCTACATGTTCGTCTGCCCCTTTTTTCTTCCAGGTTCGTGCCAGCGCCATCGCCCAAGACGCTGACCAGAACTACGACTACGCCTCCAACAGCGTCATCCTCCATCTGGACGCAGGCGATGAGGTTTATATCAAACTGGACGGAGGAAAAGCCCATGGAGGCAACAACAACAAGTACAGCACCTTCTCTGGCTTCATCCTTTACGCAGACTGAAGGCACACAGACACAGAAACAGTTCGGGCCGGAAGAAATTGAGAGAAAGAGTTGTACGACTGGGGGGGTGTGGGTGTGTGTTAAAAGCCGGAATCCTTTCTAGTTTTCCTAATTCTCTCCATCATCACGGACACCTCTGCTTCGTATCCATCAAGCCACGGCATCCAGGCTCTGTAGCCGAGCCTGGATGCAAAGCTCCCGAGGACACACTGAGAGGGGACGGGCCGGCGGCATGGGAGGAGTGGGACGTGGAGAGGAAGTGGGCTGGTTTTTCTGCGCTCCTCGACATAATGCCGACGTGTCAGAACCTCCTTGCTTTCATAGTCTCTCCTCTTCAGCCCTGCTCCATTGCACAGAAATATCAACAACAAAAATGAAAACCCTGCAAAATGGATGATCTCACCTCTTCTTTCCACAGCGGCAACAGTCGGCTGTACTGTCAGTGGACTCCATTGACTGAAACTTGTAGTGTTGTTCCGTGTAATATTCCTTCGATTGTGTTTTTATTTTGTAGACAAGCATAATACTCTACACAAATGAGATTTAAAAAATAGAATATATTTGTCCAGTGTGAAGATATCTTGTTAGTCTGAGAGAATGGGTTCGTGAGATGTTCTATGTGATGCAGCTCTGAGATGTAACTGCTGGAAACAAAATCTTTAACTCAAGACTGTCAGTATTACATGGCAGTGGGTGTTTGTCTCCATCACTGGCTATAGCAAAGTTATTATATATATTGTTCATGTGGAGAATAACAATATATTCTGCACTCTACCTTTTAATGTATCTGACAACAGAAGCCTCTCATCTAGACAATAGCCTTTCTGTAAACCACCTCACACATTTCACAAACACACAATGTCCTGCTGCTGTTTGGATTACAAGTAGAGTTCAAATCGTGTCTTCGATGTTCTAGCTGTAGTCACGTAGATACTCTACACGGCACAACCAGCAAAAATCAGAGTTCAGATTCTAAGGCAACCAAGTTTAAGAGCGCCTGTTCTTTCTTTCTCCCTGCTGCGTGTCTGCGGTTCAAGAGAAGAGAAATAAAAATCTGGCTTCTGAAGCGAGGAGGGGGCGAGGGAGAGAAAGTCACAAAGACTGAGAGATTAAGAGCCAGAAGTGAGCAAGACGGTGGGGAGGTAGACAGGGCATTCAGGCACAGTAACAGTGAGTGGGCAATTTTTTCTGTTTCAGTGTCTCTGAGCTTCATTGGATGTCATCCATTCATTAGCTGCATATTCACTGACACACAGGAATTATGGTAATATTTACTCAACATGGCGGCCTGACAGCTTGCTAGAGAATGAAACTGATTGGGTGAGTGACTTGGCCTATTATGACTGCACGTTTGTGTGTGTTGAGCGTGAGGGCGTGTGTGCGCACGCATGTGCGTGTTTGCACGTGTGAGTATGTATGTATCTGTGCATACCAGTGGGTGTCTGCATTTTAGCATGTGCCGTGCCATAGCTACATTGTTCTTTTCAGAGTTATTATGTGCTACAGCCAATGACAGATATTTTACTCAGCAGCCAATGAGATTGTGCTCTGTAGGGTGGGGAGGCTCTATAAATGAAATCTATGACATGTTTGTCTATCTTATCTTTTGGAATTGTTGAATACATTTAAATAATAAATGGGATTTTTTTGAGTGACTTGTCTCTCGAGAGTTCTTGTATCCCACATACGCTAATTAGGGAAAATGATATGTAAAGGGTCTCATTTGCTCCGTGAGACTAACTAACCACAGTGCAAACAACATGATTGGAAATATGTGTTTAGGCAGCGCAAGAAACACACACAGCGTCAGTGCAAACATTAAAAAAAAGATCCTTTCAGCAAGTCCCTCATTTCTCTCCAAAAAAGTTAAATGTATTTAGGGTGAATGGGTTTCGGGGGAAAGATGTCTCTCTCCTTCCCAAAGTGATCCTACGGAGCTTCTCTCCATCTGTAAAGGTGCGCTCAGAGATAAAAGCTAACTTAGGCAACATCCCCCAGTCAAGTAAAATGCTGTTTCTGAATGCCGATGAGTCCTCAAGGAAATGCAGGCTATTCCTCATCGAGTAACCACGGCGTCTTTTCACAGATTCTCATCAACAGAGGTGTGATATACCCAGCGAGGAAGTGAGGGTGGAGGAGAAAAGACAGGGGGAGGAAAGATTGAACGAAATAGAAGAGGAGCAGAATATGGCTTGACAAAGACAGATGGAGACACAAGAGAAAGAGTAGGCCACAGAGAGAAGTAATGGGGAAGGGATATATGGGGAGGGGAGGGTAAAGAGAAATAGAAGGAAGACAGACAGACACAAGGAGAGGGGGGCTGGTGCCGATTTAGGGTGGAGAGGGAGGAGGGCTGGATTGTTTTCAGGGTAGAGTGATTCTCTGTCGGGGCTGTGTGAGGTGTCAGGAGGGATTAGCCGGCGTGAAGCTGGAGGAGAGAGCTTGAGATAGCTTGGATTGGACAAGTGTCAAGGACTGGACATTCCTCAGACCTGGCAGGAATGGGATGTGACACTGGCTGCTATGCTGGGCCGCACTACTTTGCTGTTAAGGGAGGCAGTCATCCCTCTCTGTATCATTTTATTCATTTCCCTCCAGCGTGTAACAAGCTAAACACATGCACACTTGGGGCAGATGAGAATGTTGGAGCCTCGTTTAATGGCACCAGCATCTGTAAATCATTCCAAACGTAATTTTGAAGACATTATTGCCAACAAAAAACAAAAAAAGGAGCAACACTGAAGCGTCTGCCAGTTGTGTTTTATTGTTTGACACCAGACCAGATTTGGTTTGAAATATTCTGATTAAGTTAAAAGTGGTTGCTCTTCTACACTAATGTACTTAAAACTGTCAGAGCTTCTTGCACATGTTGATGGTGAAAGACGTAAAATTTAAGCCGTGTTTATCTTTATTTTTTGCCTAATTTAGTCTGCTGTGCAAACGGTAAGCAGCACAGTGTGTGAATATTTGGTCAAATCAGAGAGATGAGGGAGAATGTGCAGTGGTATTGAACGTTACAGTGACAGCCCACTTTTAGAAATGCTGTGGTTCAGGAAGTATATTTCCCATTAATTTACTCTATTGACGTTTCAGAAAAAAATTACATAACCAGTTTGTCAAACAATTAAATGAATCGTGACCACATTTGATTTGGAGCAATGAAATAGAATTGGAAAATGGGAAAAAAGGCAAAAGGTACCAGACTGTGTACAGAATTATTTTAAGGGTGAAGAAACTATGCATCCCATAAACCATGGTGAATGATCCCTTCCCAAAAACGACCAGCATGCTTCATCCTGAATTTAACCTTGTTGTTAATATAGTGTTGTGATGTATAGACATTATTTGTGTCTTGTAGGCTATGGATGTATATAGAGTTTCATATTGTGTAAAGTAACCTTGAGTAGTAGGGTAACGTTTGTGTTGTTGACAATCCAATCTTGCCAACATGTTTTTTTTGAAGTTGTGGTAAACATTTTACATAACAGTGAGCTCCACCAATCAGAGATGGTGTGATTATAACTAAGGATTGTGGGTAGTGTAGTAGCAAACCTCTCCTCAATAAAACATCTCTCTTAAAACACAGTTGATATCACATGGACAGGAGCATATAACATTGTTTACATAATTTCCTGTTTCCATAGATGGTTAAAATATTATGGCTAAAAATCAAAACCTCTATTCAGAAAATGAATGGGATTTTTACTTAGAAATTATTATATGTTAAGCTCTACTTTGTCACCATAGTCATAATACCAGGATTATAATAAAAAAGTATAACCTTGGAGTGTGCGTGAACACGGGCGACAAGGCAAAGACAAAGTGTGCATTCGAAAGAAGACAAAAAGCTGAAAAGCATTCGAGATGGATTTCGCAGTGGTCCATACAGGATGTGAGATTTGATTTCATTCATAACACCCCCAAGTTCCTGAAATGGAAGGACAGAATTGTGTCACTCTGTTGTGTTGATCCATTCACTGTTTCATCCTGCAACCTAACCTGAATTCTCTTTCCAGTCTGTTTATGCACTTCATTGTAATACAGTGGATGTTTTCAGTGTATTTCCTGTACATGCACCCGGCAGATGATGAATGTTTGACACTCGAGAAGAAGCTACAACTTCCACGTTGTCACCCGCATTTCCTCGAGTCAGAAAACGGAGCACATGTGTGTCTCATGCTGTTAATTGGATAATGAATTGTATGCATTATTAACAGCACAACCCTCCAAACCAGTCATAGAACATTAAAAGTAACATCCGCAGCATCTCCCCTACTTTCTGCTCACAGAGCAGAATGTCACATTTTATAGATGTGAAAATTACCTTTGTTTTATTTAGCAGCTGTCAGTGTCGGCGGTAAATAACGAGGACTCACATGTGTCACAAATCTCAATGTATTACTCATCATGAGGTAAACCACCTAGTGTGTATTAGTGTATTACAGAAACAACCACAGAGAAAAAAACCAGCAGCCAGGTATCCATGTATTTGTATATATCAATACACAGTATGTCATCGTTTGTGTTTTTAAAGGACAATGCAAGTGAAAATGAAGTGAGGGGCCTTTATATCAGTGATGTGAGAAAAGAGGCGACTGTATCCTGGCAGCTTTTTTTAAAGTGCTAATTAATCAGATGGTTATATTTAATCTTATGTAGCATCCCTAACAACACAGCAGACGCTGTCTGAAGGGCAGTGAGTAAATTGGCAGCTTGTTGAGGTTTATAAAAGCTTTCCATCTACAGCAGACACTTTAACAATTCTGACTTACACGCACTGTCACACCATGATTTTCTTTCTATGTTCAACCTGACCTTTTTCTCTCACTTTCCTTTTTTCCCCTTCATCCATTTTCTTTTCTCCTCTCCTGCCCTGCCTTTAACCCGGTATGACAAACACAAAGGTAAGGAAAGCAGGACAGCTGTTAGTAGATCGGCCCCAGAGCCTCCTCAGCACGCGCACACATGCCTGTGCATACACATTCACACGGGAAGCTCCGCATGATAGTGCAGTCACACATTAACACTGTCAACCTCACTGTGTTTGCTCCTCCCGCTGCACATGATTCCGTTTGTCAGTTTGGGTTGCGGCCGAGGAGGAAGCTTTCCCGCAGTTGTCCCTGTATGGTCTGAAGCTGCCAGGCCAGGTGTACTCTGCAGTCACTCCTTGCTCCGGGGGAGCGCACCGAGCTGAGAGGCCCGGTCTCTTATCTGCAGGCCCACCCTCGGACTTTGTGATGCCGTGATCCCACCTTGCCGCTCCACTGCCTTGCATACACTTGTTTGAAACCGCAGCAACATATTCCTGGCTACATCAGTTGACTCACAGAACTCCAGACACCTCTGACCCTCATTCCTTTCTCTGACTTCAACTCGCCACATCTGCTGTCTCCTTTAAATTTTTTAATGTCTGTGCCAGCACAGGACAGAAAGCGAGGCGGTAAATGTTTCTCTCTTTCTCCATCTCCTCCTCCTCCACAGTGAAAACATCATGGTATCCTCACATGTTGTACAGCCACATCTCCAGAGAACTCACTATAAAGAGAGATAAAAAAGAACAAACAAACATCCAACATGCCTTTTTCCCCTTCAGCAGGCAGGCTGAGTGCATTAGTGACCTTTTAAAGTGCCGTCTCCCCAGTGCTTTACACACACCCCAAAGAAGAACAAACTACTAACAGGGCTAAAAAGCTGACATACTTTAAACAAAGATCAAACCATTTCTTTGCTACGAGCCAGAACTTGCTACATTAATGGTACTCAATTATGTACCCACGACAAAAAAAACCATCTTTGTAAGCAAACAGCAACCAAATGTGTAAACGCTTGAGCAAAAAGAGGACATCAAATGTGTAAAAATACGGTTACTTTTTATATAGCACATTAAGTTCTATTGATACTTGATCTTTTATAAAACAACGCTGATCTATCCCATCATCGAAAACAAAATCCATGACTTTACGTTTCATTTCTTATACAAATGGAACACAAAAAGGCAAAGATTCTGCAGAAACAGCAGCAATAAAAAGAGACCATGCAGCACACTGAACACAACAGTATAAAACGGATGAACTGTACTGTTTGGTACAAGGATTGTGATGCACATTTGAAACTTGCAGAAATGGAAGTGTTTGTTTTCTTCATCTGCAAAATGACCTTATTGGTTAGAATCGTGGGTGGCAGTGGGCTCACACCACATGACTCTAATTGCAACGATTCTTGGATTTGTGCGAGTGTGCATGCCCGTGTGTTTGGAGAACAGTGGTGCGTTGCGTGAGCGGACATCAGACAGAGCTGCGGGGCCCTACAGCAAGGAACCGAGGCGAGGTGGATAAGCTCCGAATCGCAGAGGGTAGATGTCAAAGAGGAGATATTACCCTCCACATTACTCCCACTCGAACTGGATAGGCCATTACACGGTATGTTTCAGGCATTAGCATGCAGATAAAAAAGATATTGAACAGTGAGAGAGGTGGCCACCTTAGCTGGCAATTGAAGATGTTGTGAACAACACAGAAAAACCTCCACAAGATGTCTGGCGGAGACAGTGCAACCAAGATAATATGTAATTATGCCAAACTTCTGATTAAATATAAAAAGCCACCAGATTTTTGCATAACTTTGAGCAGCCTGCT